GTGTGTGTGTGTACTATATATATATATAGTGTACATATTTATATATATATAAGTGTGTTTGTGTTTATTTGTGTGTGTTTGTATATATATATATATGGTGATGTATACAGACATATATTTATGTGAAGATGATTACGGCCTGCAAACCCCTCTATACGTACCACACACCCAGGTGATACGCATGAAGTCCCTATTAACGCGAGGCATAGGGGTGCACCATGCGGGACTGCTGCCTATTATTAAGGAGATGGTGGAGATGCTCTTTGCACGTGGACTAGTTAAGGTGCTGTTTGCCACAGAGACCTTTGCGATGGGCGTTAACATGCCTGCACGCTGTGTCGTGTTCGATCAGGTGTGTTGTGTGGTTACTAACCAGTGTAGCTGGATGTGTGCATATATTCATAGATTATCATACATGTATCTCTGAATCCCATTGTGACTAGTATATGCACGCATACATACATACATAGGTAATTATGCATGTATTTCTGAAACGGTTTCGGCTGTGTCTGTGGATTAGAGATTCTGACCTGGACATTGGGTTGTGTATATGACAGTACATCGCGTGACTGTGTAATCCATACGCACATCAATAGACGGAAACGTGGCCTCAGAGATACCCCATGTGCATCTGTACCGCTTTTGATTCATTCGCATTCAATTAACAGTCCGAAAGTTCTGTACAGGTTGTCATAGCAACCTACTGCTACTATGAGCCTGTGCAGTCCTTCACACACCCACACACACATTTCGACTAAGAAGTGTCTGCAACGAAACCCAATCCGTTCTATATGTATTCGCATTCCGTTGACAGGTGCGTAAGTTTGATACCGGTGGCCATAGAAACCTTCTGCCTGGAGAGTACATCCAGATGGCTGGGCGTGCGGGGCGACGAGGCTTAGACCCAACGGGAACCGTGATTCTGATGTGCAAAAACGTAAGGCAATGTATATAAACACGTCAAGTCGATGCGTAAAAACAAAAAATCGATGCCTGAAATATGTGATATGTTAAGTCGGTATATGTAATAACGGACAGTCGATGTGTGAAAACGTGAAGTCGATGTGTGAAAACGTGAAGTCGATGTGTGAAAACATATGCTACGTAGTGAGCGAAAACGTAGTCTGATATGCCAACGCGTATGCCAAAATGAATCAGTCTCATCCGAGTTCGAGTTACGGCTAGACCCACGCGTGCACGACGAGTACATTGTGTGTTTACCTACCGCTCTGCCGGCCCAATCCACCGATGGAAACCCGTTAACGTATTGAAGGTCTCATCAGAAACAGAATGGGACACACAGATAGATAGGGTTTTACCTTTGCTATTTACGCTTGCACGAGTAGTGTATTGTTTGTTTGCTATCACCCCTTAGTAGAGGTGTTCGTTCGTATCGGTAGGTTGGTTCCACTTCAACCCGTTTAACGGGTATCGGCGCTCTATTCCCCCGAGAGGCGTTGCAGTCGTGTTGGCGGTGTCTGTGCTCTGTAACATTTTGTATCTACAGATTCACCTACAGCGGCTCTTCACATATAGTACGCACAAGGTACACTCACTCATGGGGTGTGACCCTAGTTTCATTCGTATGATACGATAAACGTTCAAGCTGTCCCGTTTATTTGTGTCGATTAGACATTTCACAACTCCTTCTGGCTGGACTCGGTGCTCCAATGCGTTTCTACAACTAATCCGTTTCTGCGTGTATTGACTATCATAGGGAGAGGTCAAAGATCTGTCCGAACTGAACGCGTTGATGTTGGGTATTCCCACTCGGCTAGAGAGCCAATTCCGACTGACATACAATATGATATTAAACTTACTCAGAGTCGAAACCATGAAGGTGAGTGAGACAACATCACCTGCGGATGTAGTAAAGTAGCGTCTGAGTATTGGATATATACACTAATGTGTGATCTAATCGTACTGTACTACATTTATGTACATAATTATAG